ATTTTTTGCATTGGTCGTTTTCAGGGGTAACATAACATAACAAATTAACATAACAGCAATATATGCAAATATATTTTGAATAATTTTTTTTGGTATAAAAAAATATTCGGATTTATGAAAAAATGTCTCCAAAACGGATCCAAAGATCGTTCCAACCAACCTGCGTCGCACACAGAATGAAATGCTTGATAGTAAATGTGTTTGTGTATGTTTGTGCGTGTATGTATGTATGTATGTGTGTGTTGTGTGTGTGTATGTGCGTGTCAACTAGAGTAAAAGAATAGAAGTCACTAACCTACCTATGTAACTAAATTACCTTATGCCTTAGCCTATCTATATAATAAATTAAGCTCACCCACCTATGTTTCATTAACTTACCTAAGACTCATGAAGAAAGAGATAAAAGAGTAAAACAGAACATAAAATACCACCACACAAACAAATATGATGCATGTATGTATGTATGAGCAACCGCTAAAGAACCCACCTAAAATAAAAAATACAACATACAAACACACAAACCACTCTATATAACTCTATACGGCAGCGCAACTCTGGGCTGAATCACCCACATTTCATTTCCACTATATCCCAATTCAGTTTATCTATTTCATAAACCTATCCTAAAATTTTCTCACATTCTCGTTGCCGAAATTGGGATAGAGGTAATTTGAAAAAAATTTACTGGCAAGAAGATAACTGTGAAGATGTTTCCAATGGGAAAATAATTTTAAGATGGAAAAAAGTCGACCACTGTTTATTTGTTTGTCGAAATCAGCCTGGAATTACTTGTATGTATTGTAATACGTTGCTTTATTTAAATCTATACCAATCCAAACAACACCACCGATTTAATTCAATTTTTTTAAATTAATTCAGTCACAAAATAAAAAAATAACTTTTTTAAATAAAGTAAAATAAGAATAAAAAAACAGAAGAGAGCAAGCATATTAAAACTGGGAACTTAACGTGCGATAAAGACATCCGAATTTTTTCTACAGGAAAAAAATTTGGCAAATATAAAAATTTATGTTCACATGATGTTCAAAATGGATAAAAAGTAATATATATATATATCAACAAAAAAATTTATTTTATGATAATGACAAATTAAAAATTTAAATTTATTCAAATGGATTTTTTATTTTCAAACGTCTATAGTTCAATTCGCATTCAATTTTGGGCCAAATAAATAAAAAAACTGATTAAAAACACATAAAGTTAACAAAGATTAGTAAGAATAAATACAAATAAAAATGAAAAATTTGAGGAAAAAATGGTTACTATCATAACGTTGCACTGGATTTAATGTAAATGGAAAGATGCATTAACATTTCGTCATGTTTTATATAATTTGTTTTAATTTATTTTCATTCAATTCTGTAAATTTTGTAATAAATAAATAATAATTTAGATTATATTAGTCATTACATTGATCATATTCATCCCAATTTTCATCATCGTCAACGTTTTACCATCACTATAATTGCATTTATTTTCGTATTAACCACATTCGTATCACCACCATTTAATCATCACCACCGTAATCGTCATTACCATCATTTACTCTTAGTCATCATCATCTTCTTCATCATCATCTTTTTCATCTTCTTCTTCATCATCATCTTCCTCTTCGTCATCTTCATCATCATCATCATACTCTTCTTCATCTTTTTCTTCGTCTCGTCATCTTCATCATCTTCATCACCAATGTCTTCTTCTCCACCATCATCTTCATCATCGTCACCATCTTCTTCTTTCATCTTCTTTTTCACCCCATCATCTTCACCATCATTTTCACCACCATCTCCACCAGCATCAGACGGAAGAGGTACCGATGAAGTTGTGGTTGGGGTTGTACATGCCACTCAACATCTCCTTCGTTGTATACCCCTCCTGCCTCTTCGAACTGTCGATCATGATAATGATGGTAGTAGTGGTGATAATGATGATGACGATAATGGTGGTGATGATGATAATAATGATGATGATGACGACAACAAGTATAATGATTATGATAATGGTTAATGATGACGACGACGATGATGATGAAGATGGTGGCGAATAGGATGACAATTCTTATCTCTACACCAAATTTAGTTATCATATGGCGTCAAGTTACATTGTACTAATCACCAATCAGACTTGTAGGTAATTTATAAAATGGAAATAACAGAAGTGTACTACATACATATACTTGTAGACGAAGAAAGCCAAGAGGCAGAGCAGTATCAACATGAACAAGCCTCCGAATGCTACACCAATCGCTGTTCAATTGATGGTGTGGTATTTGTCATTGGTACCAAATTGTAAAAGGTATCATCGGTATTTTTGCATGTATTAAAAGGTAGTATTTTGCATGTTGAGGTATTGTTTAGATTTCATGCATTAACTATTATATAATTATTCATTTCAATTTTGTTACTACTTTGCATAATGAACTTTAATGCGAGAGTTTAATTCATTTTATTAACTCAGGTTTTGAGAAGTAACTTCTATATATTTTATATATTCAAATATTTATCAATCAATCAATCAATTAGTCAGTCAGTCAGTAATCAGTCATTATACATCTATTTATCTAATCCCCCATCTATACATTTATTCGCACATCTATTTATCTTTCATTCGTTCATTCGTTCGTTCATTCATTCATTCATCTATCCATCCATTCATTCATCCATTCATTAATCCATGTATCCATCCATGGAAAACCTACCTCCTAACACGAGGCCCGTATAGGCCGTGGAATCATTTGACGACGACGAGGACGACGACGACGAAGAAGAAGATGATGATGATGATGTCGTCGATGATGAGAATTTGGAAACATTCAAAGACGGAACCTGAGCGGATGCATCGGGACTGATGGCCGGAATTTTGGAAGCGGGCATGATAGTTGTAGGGACGGGCGGCGGACTGAAAGCGACGGTGGATGACACTACAACTGCAGGGTTGCTAGAAAATGGTGGTGGAGCGCTTGCAGACGCCACACCAGTGGAAAAGTTGTTGTTGTTGGCGACGAATGTTGATGTTTGGGCATTGGCAGGGTCGAAGGTCGGAGTGAATGTTGGACCCTGTGACAGTTCAGGCTCAGCAGGGGGTGATGAAGATGGGGCAAGAGGAGAAACTGAAACTGAAACTGAAAACCCAGGGATGAATGTTGGAGTTGGCGGTGGAAGAGGTACTGATTGAGGTGGTAGTGGTGGTGGTGGTGGCGTTGGTGTCGATGACGGCTGCGGCATAGATAATGGTGACGCTGGAGAAGATGATGATTTAAATGGCGAAAAAGATGATGATGGTAACGTTGAAGAAGAGGAGGAATCTGTCGGTAGTGGTAAATTTGGTAAAGGTGGAGAGGTGTCGTTCATTGGTGGTGGGTGATTTGAGGTGTCGTTCATTGGTGGTGATGTTGAGAATGATGGAGGCACTGATGGTAAAGATGTGGTCTGAGCGGTGCGAAGTTCTGTGGCCAGGAACGCTGTAGTTGTCGTTGTTGCCTTTGGATCTGTGAACGTGCGTTTTTGTAAAATGGTCATCACCGTATTTTACTGTCTAATCAGTAAATTAATTAGTACCAAGACTTTATTTTTTTAAATTTCAAAATTTAACATTTAAGAAGTTTATTAAAAATCTTCATATTTAAACTATTTTAATGAATATTAAACGAACAATTATTTTAGAGTGAAATGGAAATAATTACATTGAAAAATTTCTGTATGGCACACACAATTCTAATTATAATTATTTAATACATTTTAATAAATTGGATAATTTAAAATAATTATTTAATACATTTCAATAAAATGGATAATTTTAAAAAATTTTTGTGAGAAAAATCTAGAACTACAAGCAATAGATAAATGCCATAAATTTGGTAGAATTTGTGAACTACTTATATCATTCATAGACAATTGTTTTTATTTTGTCATAAATTTGGTAGAATTTGTGAACTACTTATATATTTAAACGTATATGTTCGCTTGTGTGTGTGTGTGTGTGTGTGTGTGAATAAAGGCATGGCTTTTTGAAATCGGGTGAGGCATGTTGATGAATCATCATTCATAGACAATTGTTTTTATTTTGTCACTCTTACATAGAGAATTCAAGCCAAGTTCAATGTATTATTAAAAATAATGAAAATACTATTACTACTACTACCACCACCACCACTACTACTACTACTACTACTAATTTCAATAATAATAATAATAATTATTATTATTATGATTATATCTAACCTAGACACTGGTAGATTATAGCCAGCGAATCGAATGTGGTGTTTTCGTTCGGACAGTATCCGAATCCGACCAGGTCTGAAGTTGCGTTTTTCGACATCACCGAACAATTATCCACTTTCAAGCAGTCTTCAATTTCTTTCAAGTAATCCGGACTCTGATAATTAACGCTGAGTGTTGTTGCGGAGGAAATGTCCAGCGGTGGAGTTAGGGGATCGAAGGTCCCGGGACAACAAAACGGGTGGTGTTTGTAGAACTGCGCCACCAATTTGATGGTGGTTCCTGGAGGGCACCACTGTGATGATGGGGGAAAGGTCTGGCCCGTACATCTGATCAGACTTTGATGAAAATTTGCCTCTGTTTATGGGTGTTTGGTTGGTTGGTTGGTTTCTTATTTGATTGGTTGTTTATTTTAACGATCGATTAGCACGGATCAATTGCTTTTTATGCTGGCAAAAAAAATCTTCAATTCAAATTCACTTACATAAATACACGCATATAAAATCACAAAACTAATTATATAGATAAGCATTAGTAAACAATCCTTAACACATAAACCGAACTCAATAATCAATCAATCAATTAATTAGTTAATTAATTAATTAATAACACGAAGACCTTTGGTGCAGTTTTTTTTATCACTGAACGTATAAAGTATAGCTGATTGCCTGGGCACTAATTGATCTAAACTGGATTTCTCCGCAATGGTCAAACAAGAAGGTATGGCTGCAGAATCAAAAACAATGGCAATGCATTTATCATCCATTCTGCATTGTTGGAAGCAAGCGCTGGGATTGGTGATGTTGTAGGAGTCTTTGAAGGAGGATGTGGTCTTGCCATTTGTCATACGGAACGTTTGAAGACATCCTAGTTGAGTGGTCGGTTGGTCGGTCGGTCGGTTGGTTAGTTAGTTAGTTGATTGGTTAATTAGCTAGTTGGTTAGTTAGTTGGTTGGTTGGTTGATTATTTGGTTGATTGTTTGAATGGTTTATTGGTTGGTTGGTTAATTGAATAATTGATTGATTGATATTTGGTTGAATTATTTGAAATTATTTGTAGCTAGCTTGATCAATTTGTAAATAAAATGTGGATGTCTTCAAATATGATAGCCTAGTTAAACGTATGTAAGAAAGAAAACCCTTTGAAAGACGATTGCTAAAATTATTATAAAAGCTCAAAAAATTAATAGATACTTTTGAAGATAACTCGATAAAACTAAAAAACGAGCAAACGATTAACTAATCAAACAATCAAAGGAGTAACTAGATGATTGTACAATCAAATGAAGGAGTGGTGAAGTACTATGGATAAAAACTTACTCTCGTAATAATTAACCGATTGTTCTTGGGCATAATTCCTCGAGAGGAAGAGCGGCAACAAACAAGCGACCAACAGAATCATCTTCATTTCTGATGCTAAAAATTTGAAATTATATATATATATAGATATATCAATATCCATCAATGTCTATATCTATCAATATCCATCGGTATCTGCATCAATATTTGTATCTATCAAGATCAATATCTATCGATATCTATATCTGTCAACATCTGTATCTATCGGTATCTATATCTATCAATATCAAAATCTATCGATAAATTTATGTATCTAATAAATAAATGATATATCGAGAACATATCAAATTTGATTTTCAAACCGAATATAATGGAGAATCTTCTCAAATTATTTAATCCTTTTTAATAAAATCTGACAGATTAACATAACCGATTGATAATAATTAATAAAATAATTTTTTATTAATTATTCAACTAATAGAAGCACATTACGTTACCTGCTTTTTAAAATAATAAAAAAGCATTAGACATAAAACTTGCATATGCATATATATTTATTACAATAATCATACACACACACACACACACTCACGCACACATACACACAAACTCACAGACACACAGGCCTATTTCAAGCTTGAGTGAATTCGTAACGACAGAACGTTAAATTGTGAATGAATCAAAGAATGAAAGAAAGAATAGATGAATGAATGAGTGCATGAATGAATAAAATGAAGAAATGAACAAACGAATGAATTGAATGAACAAATGAGTGGATTAATAAATTTTGTAAAAAGGTAGATGAATTATTAAACAAAACAAACGAAAGAATGAACGAACGAATGAACAAGGAATGAATGGTAGAAAGAAATAGTGAACAAATAATAGAATGAACGAATGATCACGAAACCAATGACTGAAATACATCAGATGATATCTCGAGGTAAATAACTTAGTGAAAATTAACTATAATAGCTGGTTTCTTGATGTATTGTGCTACACTAACCTGATTCGTCAGATTTGAATCATTGACATTTAATATTCATTTTGCAAAAGTGATATCATTAGTTGTCTAGTTATATTCTTAGTATATGGTTACTTACGACATTGGTGGTAATTATATGATTAATTAATTAATTGGATTGTATCATACATCTTCTCATTATACAGTAAACTGTTGCGCTATCTTCAGTTCCTATCTTAATCTATTCAGTAAATAAATATTATATATATATATATATATATATATATATATATATATATATATATGTTGTATATGTGTATATATTTTGTTCTCTTACTCCCTCTCAACAGAGAGAGTGAGAGAGAGCATTGTGAACTATGTATTACCAACTCACGGTAAAATTATTTTAATAAAATTTTCTTAATTATCGATAAGATTTATAATTTAATATCTCAATTAACTGAGCTGTATTTGAAAAGAGAAACTTCCATTTTAATACTTGGAATTTTCTAACCATATGAATTTACGTTTGATAATAATATAATTGTAAATGTTTTAAGATCGATAATTGTTAGATTTAGTTAATAAATTAACACAACTAATTAATTGATCATGTGGTAAATAGAAAAAATATAATTAAATGATAAACTGATGACAGTATGTAACATGATATGGATGAACCTATTGAGATAGTTCAACGCTTCAAAATTTCTTAGTTAGTACTTTATAGCACCTTCCAATTTTTTGTACGTTTTTTTCAGTTGCTCCATTAAAAGCGCACGTATATCTATTTAATCTCACCTTTTTGGGTTTCTTTTTGGAGTTTTTGTAGTTATTTTGCTAATTTTTATAAATTAAAAGTCGTTTTTGTTCGTTTTATATCTTCTATTTGTTTGAAAAACAATTTATATTATTTGCAAAGTGAGAACAGCTAACTTCACGTGCTAAATAAAATTTCCGGTAAAACGAATTCAGCGTCTAAAAAAGGTATTTGCAATTCTTTTTAAGAAAAACACGTTACTTCTGATATTCATTTATTTAATGTCTTTATATTATTTTTCACTTCAAAAGCATAAATTTATAATTTATTTTCATAATTTCAGCTTGCATTATGAGTCCCACCGGCCAACAAGTTAGCTCAAACCGTTCAAAGGATAGGTAGGTTGCACTGGAGCTTAACTGTTTCATCCTTTCTTTATTTTTAATTTTAATACAATTGAAAACAAATTATTTAATTTTTTCTTATTTTTGTATGCTGTAAAATTTCAGAATAAGTCCTACAGCTCTTTTTGTCATGTATTTTACTTGTTATTTAAAAATTTTTTTCATATCTTTCTAACATTGGGAGGTCAGTAGTTAAGTACTAAGCAGTAGAATGGCCAAATTGCAGTTCAAAAATATTTTGGTCTTAACTTTCAAACATAAAGTTCTAAGCTTATATGACTCTGATGACATGGCATATGAGAGAACTCCCTATATAAATCTAAATAAAATAATTTATTATGTAATTTAATCAAAAAGTTCTTCCCTAAGGTTGCTTTTTAATGTGGCCATTAAAATTTATTCTCAGTTAACTATTTTTTTTTATATTATATTATATTATGAAGATTTTATGTTCTAAATGCGATGAAAATAAATTATAAAAATCTTGCATCACTGAAATGTTGTAGGGCCATTCGCATTCGAAACCTGCCCCATGATGTTCATGTGGAAGACATTAAGCACATGGTCAGACATATTGGAGCAGTCGAAAAGTGTGAGTTCAGTAAGTTACTTGTCATGTTTCAGTTTTAGAATTTTTTTTTATAGTCTAAATATTGTCATTGTCATCTTTGTCATTACCATCATCATCTTTACCATTGTTATGTTATTTAATAGCATTAGACTATTAGAGATAAGCTTGTTTTCCAATGAAGTTTTTCAAATATGACACCATGCTGAGATATCAGGTGTTTGATTGACTGGGATTATATTTAATGAGTAATTATTTTTAAACTATCAAAAACTACCACCAAACAAACAAACAGACAAATAACAAAACAAACTAATAACTAAACAAACAAACAAACAAACTAATAACTAAACAAACAGTTAGTGATGGGTCGGCTTTGGTTGTGTTTGAGACACCAGATCATGCAAAACAGTTAGTTCTCTCTCTCCTTATCTTAAATTATTTTACTTTTTAGCATTTTACAAACATTTCCTTAAACATTGAATTATTTATTTTAATTATTTTGTCGATAAATTAATTTAATTTCTAATTAATAATTATCCTATCTGTTGTCATTATTGCATTATCTTCTCATTTAGTTGAATGAATGCCGGTATTAATTTATGAATCATACATAATTAAACTTCTCTATCAGTCGTCAATAATAATATTTTTAATTTTATTATGGCATAATATTAATTTTGTTATTATTTATTCAATTTATTTTTATTTTATTTAGGGCCTTTACCAGGTTGAATTCATATGTTTACCATGACCAGAAGCTAAGAGTAAGTGCCGTCTTTCTTTGCTATGGTTCACTTTATTATTGCATCATTATTGTTGAACTTTATGTTGTAATATCAAATCATCATCGAGGACGAGTTCATTATCGTCATCATTATTTGGTCATCAAATGATAAACTTCCATCTTCACGCACTCATTTCCATTATTGTCTTAACCTTTATTGTCGCTCTCTCCAGGTTGACATCCTGCCTAGTCAATCAAAGATGGACCCCTCCTCTTCCTCATCATCTCACTACAGGAATGGAACTGTCAATCATTCCTACAGCGGTGGGTCCAATATAGTTGGTGGTAGAAAGCCAAGTTGTCCTCTGAGGTGAGTGTGTGTGTGTGTGTGTGTGTGTGTGTGTATATGTGTGTTTTTGCGTGTGTGTGTGTGAATCATAATTATAATAGACGAGGTCTTCATTTCAAATTATAGATATACATATATAATGATTCATTATTATCGCTTATAAAAAATGTACTCTTAACTTAAAAGGATATTGGTAGCTGGTGATTTGGTGGGTGCCATTATAGGCAAGAAAGGTTCCACAGTCAAAAGTATTACAACTCAACATAAAGCTAGGTTATTTAGTAATAAATTAAGTATATTTTACTAATTAATTGAGTGTAAATTATAAAATGATGATGGTAGTTTTAAAAAATTTAAAATCTCTTTTGTTCCTAGAGTTGATGTTCATGGCAAGGAAAATACTGGTCTGGCTGAAAAGGTTGGTTCATCAGTTATGTTTCATAATTTCTTCTTCATCATCATCTAGGCTGTATCATATTTTTCTTTAACACTTCATTCATAATTACCCTCTTGTGCTAGTCCTATTGTTCGTTATGCCTTTTTACCCATTATGACAATGTAACTAATCATTATTTGATAACATGACTATGAAGAGGATGATGATGACGTTTATGATGATGATGATGATAATGTGATGATACTTTAGGTGATTAGTATCTATGGTCAACCAGACAACTGCTCGAATGCCCTTAGAGGCATGTTAAAGATTCTTGAGGAAGAATCACATAATGTCAACAGAGGGTATGCTTTGTTTGTTTATTTTGTTTGTTTGTTTGTTTCTTAAAATTCTCTGTCTGTCTGTATGTGTTAGACTTTAGAAATATATAGGTAAAAATTTATGAGAACTAATTTATGTATGTAGGTCGTTTGTGTTGAAGATGTTGGCAGAGGACAGGTACTGTGGACGAATCATAGGAAAAGAGGGCAAGTTTATTAAGAAGGTCAAGGAGGACACTGACACCAAGATCACTCTCTCCAAGTTGGTGTTCATGTTTGCTTGTGTGTGTGTGTGTACGCGCGCGTGTGTGTGTGCATGTTTTTTTCAGCCATGTCATTTGTAAGTTCATTTAACTGTTGAACTTCTCCTGTTATTGACTGCACACCTCTCACAGTAACTACCAACCATTGTCATCATTGTCTCCACCATCATCATCTTCATCGTCATCCTTCACCATCTTCAGCATGCAGGACTTGATGTCCATCTACCCTGACCGCATCATCACCATCAAGGGAGACATTGATGGCATGGTCAAGGCTCAGTCTGCCATATCTGCCAAGCTGAATGAGTGCCTGGAGAAGGATATGGTCAATAATAATAACATGGTCAGTGTTTATCTAAGTGAATGTGTACGTTTTTGTGTGTGTGTGTGTGTGTGTGTGTGTGGGGGGGGTGTGTGTGTATTTGTATTTTGTTAGTGTATGATGATAATTTCACTGTGCATTATTATTGCCACAAGAAGTATTATTTTATACCTCAACTACCAGTTGATACCATCAAATGGTATGCATGACAGCAGAAGGATCAATGGACATTCTGGAGTCAGTTTACTATTATTACTATTAATTTTATTTATCTGATCTACGTTATTATTGTTTTTGTTGGTATGTTTGTTTTCGACTTTATAAGAATGTTCATAAATGACCCAAACAGCCAGCCAGCCATCCATCCGGTCATCCAATTTCCTCGCACCACCCCTCAAACATGACCGCCTCAACGGTGGGTACATCAGAGATGTGCCAGATAAGCGTGCCAAACTCTATGGTGGGCAGTATCATTGGAGCTGGTGGCTCCATCATCAAACAGATCATGCTTGATTCTAATGCCCACGTTGTGGTTCGTTCGTTTGAATGTTTGTTTGCTCCTTTGTTCGTTTGCTTGTTCGTTTGCTCGGTTTGTTTGTTGCAAAAATGGTTGGCACATCTCTTGTACTGAGGTCATTAGTGATGTGTGATTGAGTTGTGATTGATTGAGGAAACGCCTCATTAGTGAAGGCGTTTTCTTCATAAGATTTGTTTAGAGATCGATTGTTTAGTAATAGGACTTGTCTCTGTGGCATAATCATGTTAAGCATTCTCGCTCACTTCATTGTATGCACATATAATTATGAATACACACACACACGTACACACACACACGCAAACACGAACAATGACCGTAGGTTGAACCGAAGCATGATACAGAACACAAGGATGCTGAGAGAGTGGTCACAATCAGAGGAAGTGCTGATGCTTGTTGGAAGGTCAGGGATGGATGGATGGATGGTAGGATTGTAGGATGGATTGTAGGATGGACGAATTATCTAATGTTCAGTTGAATGAATGGTTAAATTGAATGGTGGATTTTATAGATGGTTTGTATGTTTGATGAAATATTTTGAAAGCAGTTATTTAGATAAATGAGTTACTAAATGATGATTGTTCAATGATAAAATGTCATTGTAAATGAATGCATATGTAAGTGAATGTAATGCGTTTTGATTTCCATTTATTAACACCTTAATCATTCTTACTACATTTTCATCATCATTATCATCTTCATCATCATCGCCGTCGTCGTCACTACAGGCCAGTTATTTCATATTTGAAAAAGTGAAAGGCGAGAGCATGTCTGGAGGTGATGATCGACTCAAAACTGGCATCAAAGTGAGTAGAAGATTCACCATGCTGATTATGTGATGATGATAATGTGATGCTGATGATAATGAGAAGGAAGAAGAAATAATGAGTTTATTGTTGCCTCTCTCCACATTGGCTCACTCTCGTTATCATCATCACCTTTTTATCACCATCATTTTCATCATCATCATCGCTCAAACGTAGGTACCAAAATCGATGGTGGGTCGCATAGTCGGGAAGAATGGTCGTAGCATCCGCGAGATTCAGAGGCTGACCGGAGCCAACATCAAACTTCCCGACAGGCAGGACGAAGATGAAGTACTCATCGAGGTCTTTGGAAATTTCATGGCTACTCAGGTTGGTCCTTTGACGAGCTGATGGTGGTGAATGAATGAACGATGAAAATGAATGAATGATTGAATGAATGATTGATTGATTGAGCGAGATGTCAAATGGACAGTTGAATGATGGAATGAATGGTAGAAACAAAATGAATGCAATCAAGATCTAACTAACACAAGCGCAACAGTCACAAATGTAAGCTTACTTGTACAAATTTTTCACGTTTTAACACTTACACAGATATACTATCTTGAAGGCCTGTACAAACAAAACTCATTTACATTCGTAAATAAAATCTAACACAAACATTCACACAAATGCATTATAAAATAAATTCATACAGGGTGCCCACAATCGAATTCGAGCTCTCATCAGCCAACCAGATGGAACCTTCTCTCGACCAATCAGAATTTAAGTGTCATCATCAATCATCATCATCTACTGCCTCATCATCACTTTCTCTTAATCACCAGTTCTTTCTCTATCGTCACATTCGTCATTATTATCATCATTTTTTCTAATTTTTTTTGTGTAACTTTCACCATCTTCTTAACAGTCCACATGCTCATTTTTCTTCGTTATCATCGTTCTATCATCATCGTCATCCGTTATCATCATCACCATTACCAGTGTGTCATCATCACCTTCATTATCATTATCTCTATCTACATAATTGTTGTTGTTAACGTCATTATCATTTGTCTTGATGTACATGCTCATCTGGTAACTATTGTGCTTCTCAAAATTATTATTATTATTTCTCACTCGTCTGTATTAATATTATTATCAATCTTCGTTTTGCGTCCAGAGACCCGGTTCCCCTAGGTAGGACGCTGTATTAATATTATTATGATTATTATGAAGATTATTTGTCTTGTCGTCATCATCGACGTTGTATTGGGTTTCTTTTTTTTTGTGTCATTGCTGATAGCTATACTCAATACTTATATGTATTTATTGATTTGATTTCTTTATTTCTTTATTTATTTATGTGTATGTTTATTTATTAAGTTTATTTTATCGCAATTTTTGTTATTTATCATCATTTTTATTATTTGTAATGTATTGTTGTTGTTGTTATTATTTTATCGTTCGTTTAAAATTCGTTTAAGTATCTAATTTTTTAATTATTTAATTAATTTATTTGATTATTTGTTTATTTATTTGATTATTTATTTACATTAAAGTCAAAATAGGAATTAATTAATTTTGTTTATTTACAAGATTCGGAGATTTCTGTTACTTCTTATTTTTCAATTTTTTCATTAATCTTTGTGAAAAAGTAAAGATTTTATGATAATAATAATAATAAGAAACAATTACAGAATAAGTGTATATTATT